GGTCAAAATCCAGCGCGCTTTCTATTCTCTGACGTAGGTCGACAATTTTTTACTGAATCGAGGGTGCTCGGGGGATGAGCAAAGTGGCTTACAAAAGGCGCCGTAGACAGCAGGGACACCGACTACGGGCAGTCGGGGTAGAGCAGTGATGGTACAGACTCCAGGGATTCCGACAGGGATGAACACACCCCGTGCTTGACGGTCCTAACTATTCCAGCCCGTGCGTGCGTTACAATTAATCAAGCAAAAACTGTCAACTGCCATGACCCGATGTGTACGTCACACGGGTCTCGGGAAAGTATCGACCACAAACAATGGCTATTCGGAACGGTGTACCAACGTTGGAAAACTAGCTCGAGCGAATGCTGCTTGTCAGATCGAAATCCTTCGTGGTCCACCTACCCCCTGACCTGTTGCCACCCTTGTTACGCATCATTGTCATCTGTATATTATTTCATCCCCCATTCATCTGTTATCCGGGAACTTCGTCGATATTGTCAAACTGTCACTCTGGTGGAAATGAAACGAAAATTTTGACATTTGTAAATTTATTCTAAAAACAAAAAACTGACAAAGGATAAATACTCCCTTCATTCAGGTTTTTATTGTTTTTATTGTCAAATTCGGCGAAAGATATTGTTATGGACGAAGTGCGTGTTTATTGCTAATTGATTACTCTGTTGATCATACATGGTTCCGGTTTATTATATTTTCAAATTTTTTTTTTTGGTTTGTATAAAATTTATTGGCAATTCTGATCACGAGATTTTTAATTAGTCTTACCTGAATTCATATAGGATCGATTTTTTTTTTTTTAAATTATTGAAGCATGATATTTTTGGGAGAGATTACTTGAAGTATACTTGAGATTTGAAAAAGTTCTTAACAACTTGAGGTTAACGTCTCGAGTGGATACATCGTTAAGTTAAGGGTGCATTCATTCGGTTTAACTGAAGCTCGAGGTTTTTTTTTTTGAAATTGAAAAAACTTGACATTTCGACAAGAATTACAAGCTCCAATAGGCTTTTATATCACGTCGCGGCACGTACCGGCTGATTATGAAAGATTGTTGTTTCAGGCTGAATCCACAATTTGTATAGTAACGATGTAACCAGATGGGAGATGCGGGAAGGGATGTAAATCCGGGTGATTGGCCAAGCGATTCTTGTTCGTTATAACGACTGAATTATGCGCAATTTCATAGCGAGGAAATATGCCAGGATTTAGGCTAAAAAGTCATTTGAATTCGAGACTAGACTTTCACGTTGGACGTACACGGTAACGGTTTAATAGTGCAGGCACGTTTTCGCGCAGGCGGCTGCGGCCCAAGTTACTCGGAATCTCGCTGGAGTAATTTCCCATTCGAAAATCACGTTAGAAGATTACGGGGGCTGGAGCCGCCAGAGTTCGGGTTGCAACTGAGGCTCAACTTCCTCTGTAATGCAATGCCAATTCATAGCCCGTGATATCTTATACCCTATACCTTATACCTTGCACGTTGTACCTTAGACTAACCTACCCAGCAACCTACTTTGCTTATCTTGTGCCAAGTTCATTCTTCATTCTGCAAAGTTCAGCATCTAACTGGAATTGCCTTATCCCTCAGGTAGCACTTGATGACTCAAAAATTTCTTTGCTTAACAATAGTATACTCTCTCTCGGCAATTATCACCGACCCTTATACTGAACAGTGGCAGATTAAATAAAAATTTCTAAAAAAAAAAAATTTCAAAATACAATCGTAATTTCAGTGTCCTTTGATCCTCGTATATTTGTTTTCGCGTTATTATGGAAAATTGTGGAACATTACCGGGGAAAGAAGGGAACGAGGAACCAAGAAAAAATGGTTGATGTTTCGCAGGAATCGAGGGCTAAATCATCCCGAGGGAACCCCTTGGAATTCAAAGCTATCGTCCTAATAGGCTATCACCAGGTCCTAAAACTACGATCGCTCGTAGAGTAACTTATACCGCACGTGCGTTGACTCTTTAAAGTTTTCGACGGGCATTAGTCTTCGTCGACGTCGGGACGCCGTACGAAACATCGATGCACGCACCTGACGTCATCCCAGTACGGCTTCGTATCCCTTACGGGATAATTCACGATGAACTAAACTCTCTCGATAATCGGGATATCTACGGGTAAGCCGATTATTCGGTAAGGTTACTTGTCTGCGATATACACTGTTATAATATAACGGGTTTACACTTTGTAACGGGATAACGTTACTTCATAAAAGTTTGACCGGTTATTACGTGGTCCTTCAATAATAATCCAATCTGAGCCGTCCCGGACGGTGCACTAAAATGAGAATGGATTCTTCAATTTATGGAGTAAAAGGATTTTCTGGAGTTTCGGGAGAAGGAGAAGAGGATATGGTAAAAAAAAAAAAGTTGGACGAGTAATCTATCGAAATGGAAATACGTCACGTAGTTGGAATCACTGTAGAATCCATACAGGATCCGTAGCGACGCTCAAAACTTGAACTGGACTTCAAAAAGTATCCAGTCGAAGTGAGGCTAATGTTTTCAACCTATGCGATGCCGCTGAACTTCGCTAAAAGTGGATTTGAACTTGGCAAAGTTCAGAATAACTTTTCTGGTACGTGTGGCTTTCGTGATCGATTTTTTTTTTTCATCTTGTTTCTCTTTAGTCTGAGGCATCGAAGATTCTACAGCAATGCGTGTTCAAGGATCGGGATTTGCTCGGGATTATATATGACAGGTAGCCCTTTAAGATACACAATTTTTTCCATATTTGAGAATTTCATTTTTTTTTTTTTTTTTTTTTTTTTTTTTTTGTATACTGAGTATTGAAGATACTCGTGCATCAATCTTTGTCCTGAACTGTGCCATTTAACTTGGCCCACAAAATTTAAGTGATTGCCTATCTGCGGTGTGGTTTAAGCAAAACTCAAAATAGGTGAAAGTCATGGACAATTTTAAAAATGATTTGTAACTATCGCTAGAAATCACAAAAGAAAATTTAATGACAGCTGATCGGACACGTTGGTGGGAGTAGAAGAACGGAAATAACCTAGCATTTGAGTGATATTAAAAAAATTAACGAGAAATTGATTGGTCGTACTGGATCGATAAGACTTTAATTTACTAAAGTGCCACATGAAGAGTAATATACGTTTGCTACTTCAGTTCTACATATTTGAATTATAACGAGTATCACTTATGCTATATTCAATTGTCACTTAGAAAATATTCAATGAGTTCTTCGTGGAACATTCATACAATGTATCTTGGCCATATACTTTTTTTTTTATTTCAACTACCTTTTTTATTCTCGTTCACAGCACATGGAGCTTTCAAGTATAACCTTTGATTAATGAATCAACTGCTATATGTATACCTCGCAAACTTCAAGTTTATCCAATCCATCGAGTTTCGGAATTTCAACCAAGCAAAATAGTCTCGTCTCAAAATTTCTAAAAAACTCGCAAGGCACAGCACGTTAATTTTCAAAAATTTTATTTGCATACTTAACATTCCGCCTGTTTATTCTCGACTGTCACGTTGTAGAATTTTGAAAAGTTTCATTTACTTGGAAAAAAAAATTTCCAAAAAAAAGCTCCACTATTTGAAATTGCGTCACTGACTACGTTCGAAACGTTATATCTAACTGATCCACGTGCAGAGAAGCTTTTCAGCTTTTCGCATCTGCCGAGTGTTAGATTCGCTTCGACAAATAGTCTGTACGATTTGTTTCCGTATTGCGGCAATGTGCGACAAATTGGATTTTTGTTATTTCACCGATATCCAGAGTTACGGGTAAGGAGAGAGTATGGGCTGAATCGTCCGCGGGTTAAAAGAGACAGAGATAGAGAGATAAAGAGAGGTAGACACTAAAGTGATTAAGAAAAGTGAAGAATCCATGAGAAAAACTGATGAGGAGGAAAACAATTGAAAATAATAAAGAGGAGAAGTGATCGAACGATTCCATAATAGTGGCTATCTGACTCGAAGGACGGAAATCGATCAAAGGAGTGATCCATCAGCGTTAATTAGAAAAATAATTATCGTGAAATAAAATACACGTTCAGCATCGATCAGTGACAAATAATAAAAACGTTCATTTGGTTCTACAATATTAACTACAGGTGAATTTTTATCGTCGCGTTAAATCGTCACACGCAAGTTTTCACGTATGGCCTAAATGACACATTGAATGATAAACACAGTTGAAAACACAATTTCAATATGATTACGTATGATTGATCAACAGTGAATAATGAATGGCATAAAGAAATTGGACTAATTTTTAGACTGAATAGTAATGGCCGCTATCTCATGACTAGTGAATAATCCGATTATACGATGATTGAAAAGCTTCACGAAGTTTGGGAAAATTTTCACTATCCAGGAAGCTCATGTTAAAATTCAAACGTTTTTGGGATACAGGATTTTCGACTATGTATCTCGCTACAATATATTGTATAGACTGTATATAGTCTCTCGTAGTACAAGTATAAGGCTAACCCATTGTGGTTAGTGATGTATGGACGGTAGGAAAACCCGACCCGTCATGGACCTCATCTAGTTGAGTGTGTTTCTCACGAAAATTCGCATTTTGGACTACATCTTCTTATTTTCATTGGCAAAAATTTTGCCTGCATATTTTATTATGCGATTATCGAAATAAGAGCTTGGAGCAAAAGGTTTGGTATAATTTTTTATTACAGTACCTTGCATCAACATTTCTGTTGGGCAAGTTACGTAATTTTGTATTGCGTTCATGCTTACGTTTAAAAGAATTTTCTTTTCTTGTTTTACACTTACTGTTTATGTTTCAACAATGAAACAACAATTCTTTATAGTTCTGCGATGAAACAGCCTTTGTTGTGATGAGCACAAAGTAAGGGGTAAAAGCGCAAGACCATTTTCAGGTCATACTTGGGTTTATACGACCGCCGTGCGAGGCGCTACAATCCCAAGCTCGGAAAGCACGTGGAGGTGTGGAGGGAGCTTGCAAGCTTCAAAGCCGTCAGTCAGTACCCGGCCGTCATTCGATCAACAAGATTCAGATAAATCTTACGTTTCCTATTGACTGTGCACGGTGAGTCACTGAAAAAGTTCTTTCTGAGCTTTAATTGACATTTTGAATAATTAAAAATTTTGTGTTACAGTAGTAAAGCAAAAAATGCTGTTTCACGTAAATGATAAAGGTAATTTTTAATTAAATTTCATGCAAATATATATATATTTCTTTTTAAACTCACGGCTTCTCAATTAATTGCACATTGTATGCGTGACTATTGTTTTATTTTTGTACGTAGTGGACCTGTGGTGCAAAAACAGTAGTGAGCTCGAGTACGCGGAATAAAGACTGAACTTGAATTGAAAAAAAAAGAAGTTCAATGAGAAAGAAGAGGTAGAAAGAAAATTACCTCGAACTCGTTAAAAGTAAAACTTAAGAGCTGCTTCCAGGGAACTGCGAGGAGTATATAAAACGGCAAGTTAAATTTTCCGTGCTATTCCTCATATTTCATTCCTTCGAGTATCTCACGGCAAGATTAGCAGACTCACCCGTCCGCGCACATGCTAAAGCATTACATTCAGTACGCTCCGTTTCTCACTTAAACTTCAAAGAAAGTAGCCTAATGGGTGGATGGTAGTGAGTATAGAATAATTTTATAAATATTTTTGAGAAAGAAGAAATAAATGATTAATCTAATTTCGAATTCTCTTTTTATATTTGCCAATGACATTTTCTTTGCCTTAGTATGTACTATCCCTTCGTTTTTCACAGATCATTTCCAAGCTTCTTTTTTTTCTGTGAAATCAAATAAATTCTCATTTATGAATATTGAGCGCGATGAAAAGTGAAAACACGTGCACGAGAGTAACTTCTTCGTGTCTTAAGAAAATTCGCATAAATTTTCCGCGAATCTTGGATTTACGATGTAGGGGGCGTTACTTGCAGAGTCGCTGCCAATAATTTAATTCCGCGAAGCTAGTTACAATATTACGTTTTCGAATCATTTTCGATTTGCAGGAGGAAAAAATCTATAAAATAAGACTAATAATTTTTTTTTTCAAATTTCGTTTACAGATTTCCTTTGATTAGCTATAAAGAATTATAAAAATAATTATAGACAATTCCGACTACATTTTGCATTAAATGAATCTATAGGATTTAATTATTCAACCGATTATTTAGTATAAAAATTGCATTTTTCTTATTTCATCATTTATTCTTGTCGAATCTATATTTCGGCAAATTCACAGAATTCCAAAAACCGAAACTTTCTAACTTATCGTTGAAAGTTTGATAACGACGTTTCGATAATTTATTCCTTTCAGTATCGAATTATTAATTTCATCCATCAACCTTGGTCAACCTCATTATCGCTGTATACAAGTTTGAAGAAATAAATTATAAAATACATATGTCTGACATTTCAGTCGTTAAAACAGTGTTGAAAGCAAGTGGGTTAATAAATGAATAAATGAGGAAAACGGATATACGAAAAGGTCAACCCTCGTGTAACATAATCCCAGACGCTAAACAATTTGAAATTCTATGTAAAGAAAAAAAAAAAAAGAAAATCATTAATTACTTGTCTACATAGGAAGAATCAGATGATTTAAAGGTTTTAACATTTTATTTCATTTAGTATTAAAAGAGACAAAATGGATGCCTCTTTGAAATAATTATGAAATGGTGCTCTCGTTATTATAAATGTTCGGGTTCCTTCTTATTTTCGCATAAACTAGGTATAGTATACGTATGTATATTACCTACTTCCCTATTTAGTCTCCGGGTCACGAAAGTTCACCGTTTCGTACAGGAGAAGGCAAAGTTTGGAAATAAAAAAAAAATGTGGTCATTTCTCATCATTTCCGTCAAGCAAAATGACAGTTTGTGGATGTACTATACAGGGTGGTACACGCAACTTGCACACTTCTATAACTTGTAAAGTATGCATCGTACGAAAATATTTGGTGTACAAAATTTATACGGTTTTAAACCGTACGTTTTACGGTATTGATGGAGGGCTTTCAGGGATTTCAAATTCAACTTCGTGTTTGTAAATGAGATGCTACGCTCTTTATACAAAATTGTGAAAGAACGTGAAAATTCGAGTAAAAAAGTACTGTCCCTGCATTAGCCGTAAACCTAATAACTAACGAGTAATTTAACTTTGTTTCTTGAAATTTTTTTTTCAGAACAGTACTGTGTACTCTAAATTTCACGTTTTTTCATAATTTTCTAGAAAAAAATAGCATTGGATTTACAAACACGACGTTGACCTTGAAATTCTTGAAGCGCCTCCGCCAATAAATTTAAACTATGCATCACAAAAAGTATCCTTCGAAACCGTACAAATTTCATATATAACATTTTTCCATACGATGCATACTTTATAAGATATACCATGTGTGCAAGCTTCGTATAACGACGTTAGACGCGACTGCTTAGTATGGTAATACATCGATTAGCGAGTTCGTAATACATAACGTATGGAATTTCGAGGAAAAAAAAAAAAAAGAAGCAGCATAGAAGGTATGCGGTAGTAATTAGCAAAACGTTATGCAAACCTTCCCGTAAACTTCCTTCAATAATTTCGCAAAAACATGCATGGACAAAAAAAAAACAGGAGTGGAGAAATGGTTCGAGAAATTGTTTTTCTCGAAAAACTCGGCAAATTCCAGTAATTATTTGTACCTCGTAAATTTTACGTGAAAAAAAAAATATATCCTCGTGTTCTCCCTTCAAATAATATTCAAATAATTTACACTCGATTGAATTCAGCCGGGAATACGCTTTTGAACTTTATGGGGGGGTACTACGATTATAAATTGTTCTCCCATTAACACGTAAAAAAGGTCGAATAATTTTTGGTGACAGAAACGATTCGGTGGGCCTATAGCGTCGTAGGTCAAAGATTGCGATTAAAGAATTTCACGAAGGTGAGAAGTCGTAAAGTTGGTCGCAAGCTCGAAAATTCCACTTGGCCATTTCATTCTAACGTCAGAAATTGCTTCTTCGACGAAACCGTCACGCGACGTTACTCTATAAAAACGAAAAAAAAAAAAAAAAAAAAAAAAAAAAAAAAAGAAATCATAAAAAAAAAACACGAAACGAACTAAAACGATATCAAGATAAAGAATGCCCTTTCTCAAACGTTATCACCACTTGAGCTTTATGAGGTTAGGTTACCGTCAACGGTCTTAGCACCACTTCTGAACTTTTAAGATCACTCTATGGTATATCGTTCGTTGATTCTTGTTCGCCAAGATTCGAAAGACATTAAGTGACTCTGTCGGTCGCACATCTTGACTTGTCATCAATATGACAGCTAACGTCATCCGAGACGTCCACAAAGTTAACGTAGGTTGGTTCGCCAAGTTGAAGGAGGGTTAGGTGAGGTAAGGAAGAGCATGGGTGATCAAGTGAATTGATAGACACCGTGTAAATTAAATTACCCAGTGCGTGCCTATGAATATTCTATTCGATAATTATTTTATGTGCCAACCCTTCCGCAGCCACACGTGTATTGATATTCAGTAGTACTTTTGCTCGATCATCACTTTAGTGCTTGTCCTAACGTCGTCTGACGTCGAAACAAATTTGAGTTCCTTAAAATTCGAAATTATTCAATAATTTTTTCGACGCATGAACAGGAATCTGATAATTTAGAATATACGTAAGGTCCGTCATTCATTCCGTTGGCTATTATGAAAATGAAGCTTAGACTCTAATACGATGGCAGAACTGAAATTGTGATGTGGCCTTTAATGATAGCCGTCCGAGTAGTACGGAGCCCTCGGAGTATAATGCAATGGTGGTACCTTCCCCTGCCCCATTGCTGACCTCAGTGCTCTTCTAATGACCTGGGCTCTAAGCTCCACCTAGCTGCAGTTTCCAGAATGCTAATTGTCTCTTTAACAAAAGCTCCGCAGACCCGGGTACCAACCGACGGAGCAGGTTGTCGGAGGGTACAAAAGTCTGGGAATAGGTCTCGCGACTACCCCTTGAATTTTGCTATCGCGTTCAACCCCTGTTGTCACGGCCCTTTTCGCACCCTTCTCTACGGGAAGTACCAGACTCCCTACTTTATAAGTCTTTTTCACCCTCTACTCTTACCTCGAACGCCGTCTTCCCTTTTCTTTTTCGCTGTTTCACACGATACATTCGCCGAATAACGCACACACGCTCTATTCGGAAGATAAATGAATCTCTACGAGATTTTTTTTGTTCATTCAAATCGCCAAAATTCCATTAGATTTCGAGTTACAACAAATCTTTTGACGGGCCACAAAAAATTGTTTCTTATGGTCCTCGGTGGCATGGACCAACTTGTATGTCATGGGACTCCATATCAATCAGATTAATTATACGATGATTGATTTCTCTTCCGCCTTTGATTTCCGGTTCGATATGACTTTCAGGAACATGTCCTGGATATCCTCGTACAGACTCCGTGTAACTGGAACAACCGTGTTGTCATCTGCAGTCGATCAGGGCTGGTTAACCCAGCGTCAATACAGTCAGGACTAAGCAAACGAGATATCAGAGGTGGATTGAGGGTGGGTGTGATTTATGTCCCGAATCCTGTGAGGGTTGGTCCTGTTCATCCTACAGGATTTCGGTACAAGATGCGGAAGACATTCGTTTTGTTCGCGTAGGGAAACAATACGTTGTCATAAAAAAGAGTCTTGGGTCTGCTGCTGCTAAATTGTGAAAAAAATTATTTTCTCGCGTCACAATTTCTATGCTGTTGTCTTACGTAGACATTCGTATCACTTTACGGCTGATATTGCATAAAAAGGTTCAAAGTTCATCTTACGGAATATTCTTAGATCCAGTGTGTACTCGAAGCTCAAAGCTCGCACTGTACATTATCCTGGGCTGTACAATATTTCCAAATCATGAGTTCTTAGAATTTACGAATCCACGGACGTTTAGGTTTATTAAAGGTTTATTACGTAAAGGTTTATTCACAACGATCACTTGAAGGTAATTCTAACGTATAAATCAAATGGAGAGACTAACTTTAGCCGATCAGTCGTGCGAAATATCCTGTAAATGTTTACAGGGTATACGTGTATTTTGCATACGTATAAATTGGATATTTTCGTAAAATACTTTCTACAGCAAAATATTTACGCGAAAAAAATTTTTTTCTCTTGTCACGCGGACCGAAACTAATACGATATTTCTGCGTAAAACATGCACGATTATTTAGTTACACGGGATGTAAATTTTAAAAAAAATTATGCTTTTAACATCATCCGTACAAAAATCTTTTGCTGTTTTTTTTTTATGTTTATAAATGAATTTTCATAAAGCTTGACTTTTCCGATGCGTCTGTTCAAGGGTTGTATTCTATTTTTCAAGATTCCCGACAAAACCCTTTGGATTCGGACGGCAGATTTTCAGCAAATGACATTTATTTATGGGATTACCAGCATGAATGGATTCCTGCTGGCTGATGTGAACGGGAA